CTTTACGTTCCACTTTCCTTCAAAAACATAAATCCAAATCACAACCCTGTAACAATTATTAGGAAGAAAATTAACTCTATCTCAGCAGAAACCAGGACACCAGAGATAAATGAACAAGTCTGTATTTCTTGAAAATCCTTCCAGAAAAAAAGATTTTCATATGTAGTTCTTCTCTATAAAGCTGCTCTATAGCACTTACAGACCTTTAATACTAAATAATACAAAATGCTGGTGTGCATTTGAAGGCTCTCATGCACATGGCTATCTTCTAGAGATGACCAGTCAAGGTATGAAATTAATTGTGAAAGGAACAAGAAGAAACTCTGAAAAGCTCTGAAGGGCAGTGGCCAAAAAATAGTTTTCAGGTTGCTATTCCTAATCACTTATGATCGTACCTTGTCCCACTCATGACCACCCTTACTCTTGATCTTCTCCAGAACACATGTGCACACATTCATGAAGTGATTGAGGAAGCACCAAAAGAGGAAAAGACAAACCTCCTGGTCTCTACAAACACGAATGTCACTCTTTGATTCCAATAACCAAATCCTAACTATCCAGAGCCTTACAGGTATCTTTTCCTCACAATCTTCAAAGAGTTAACCAATGTAAAAGACATGAATTCTTTTTAAAATAAAGGTTCAACTCTTTCTTTCAAGAAAAGAGCTGCTTTTTTTACCACTCAGTGAATACAGTGACTAACTTTTAGTGAGAGGCAAACATTTCATCAGATTGATGCATATGGATCCTCATGTGTATGCTGATATATTTTCTTACAAATTTGCGCAGTCTGGGCCAACAAAAGTGTGTACTGAAATTTTTGCAATTATTTATATTTTTGACACTCAGAACTGAGATTGTTGTAACACTGTAACAATTCAGAAAGCAAGTGCAGTATGTGAATGTATTTGGTCCGGCTGGGATGGGGCTGACTTCCTTCACAGCAGCCTGTGTTAAGTGTTAACCTGCTCTTCAGGGAGTGACAAAACAGCTCCCAGAAGTGGCAACTGAATTCCTGTTTTTGATTTGCTTCCTGTTCACAGCTTTTGCTGTCTCTATTAATCTGACACTATTTCAATCCACAAGTCTCCTTGCATTCCTTTTACTTTATCCCATGCTGTGGGAGTGGGGGCGTGAGCAAGTAGCTATGGGTGTTTGGCTGTTAACCAAGGCTGGCCCACCTAGTAAATGAGCAGGTGCTTATTGTTGCGGAATTCACCACAGGAAGCCAAACTCTTTTCCATCTGCTCTTGTTTTCAGCTAAAGAGAAAAGTAAAAATTGTGTTGGCCCTGACACACGCCTTCTTTGATGCCCTCTCAACTAGCAGCTCAGAGATGCTACTGAGAAGCTGCTACTGAAAATAAGTATTCTGGCTGAAAAGTCATTTCATAGTGCTATTCTTAATTTTCAGGCTTCTTTCTCTCTCAGCAACTCTACACCAGTTTTTCCAAGACTTCTGAAGAAATTCACGAGCTGAATCTAACAATGTGTAATCCTTTAATTGGTATGATTAATACATGGTTTGTCCAGTGTTTGCTTTTTTAATTTGTTTTGAAGTGGACGTTCTTTTTGTGTTTTAATAAACTGATTAATTATTCACATTACGGGTAGTCAGTATACTGTATGACCTCATTAGTTCTGACTTTTGAATATTCAGAATTTGCCTACTTGTGATACTGCAGCTGCAGGTGGGTTGGCCAGGCTGAAAAGCGTGTCTTTTAAGGTTTCCTTTTACAGCAGACTCCACATAAAAAGCACGGTGCACAGCTCAGGTGTCTGCTCTTGATCCCAGCCTCCTCTCCTCAGCAGCTTGCTAGATGCATAGATCATCTGGGTGGCAGCTCAGTGCACAGATCAAGGAGAGCTGCACCCCAGAGAGACAAGACCTGGCCAGCCAACTCCGGGGGATGAAAATGAAGGTCTTTCAAAATACCCAGCCCGGAGTATCACCGAGCCGTGTGAAGCTAACTTCCAAGCAACGTTTTCATTTTGTTACAGTGACACCTGGTGTTGCAAGGTAGCTTTTTCGAGAGGGAAACGTGAGGACGTGAGTAAGAGCAGCACCGGAAAGGCTCGTATCTTACCACTGGCAAACAAATGTTCCGATTTTCAAACGTGAGGGTTTTTTTTCAGCACGGTTTTCCGTGTTCCACATTTACCAAGTAAAAAACCCAAAACAAACCCACAAAAAAAACCCCAACTTTCTGTGTACATCCTGTGTGCATGAGATGTTAGCCATATCCAGAGAAAGACTTTTCAGAGCTTTGTCATGTAGGAATTGGTAACACTCCTAAGGACACCTAGGTAACAGGAATTCAACTGTGTTAGCAACATCACTGCATCACTTGTGATACATCATTTATTCTTCAGACGATTAATTATTAACATTTATCATTTTTTTTCTTCAGTAATGTATTCCATGAGGACCCACAAGGTGCAGATGAATTCCTGAAACCACCAACCAGTGATCCTAGGTAGATGGTTTAAACTGCATCTCAAAATCCTGCAGAGAGTGTGGTATTATTATGTCCCTTCTTTTGAAGTTTATAAACACAAATTCATTATTATTTGTGAAAGAAGAGGTAGAAAGCTTTCCAAATCTCAATTAAAAACTCTTTAAATCATTCCTTTTATGCGATTGCCCTAAAGATTTTCTCAGAAATCTCTTTGATGGCTTTTGATTTCATTCTGTTGTAAAATATTTTCTCATCTATATGATTTTATTGACAATTAGGATTGAAAGGGGCTCTAAGCCCTACCTCTGTTCAACAAAGTTCTTCACAAAAATGAAAAAAGACAAAACCTTGAAATTCAGAACTATTAAAGTTTCAGAAAAAAAATAAATCTTAATGTAATTCCACTTATGTTCTAACTTCAGTCAAAATTAAACAAACCTAAAATTGTTCCCTTTATTCCTGTTAGAAATATCTTTAGTAAAACTCTTTTTCCCTTGCAAATGTGCAATTTTGCAAGCTGATTCACAACTTCCATGACACATGGTACTAGCTGCAGCAATCACTTCCAGCAGTCTATCTTTTAACCACAGCTACAACCAAAGATAGAATGCTTGTCAGAATCAAAAGCAGTCTTCAGAAAGGCTGGACTAACACCAGCCAGCCACCATTGCCGCTGTGCTCACTCACAGCAAAGTTTCATCAGCTCTAGTATCAACTGCCCACCTAAACATCAAACAGAGCAGAGGTGTGTGACACAAAGATGCTGACTTGGGAGGACTTTCCATAATATTTGTATTTTGTTGCTACAGATCGCCCGTCTGTATGGCTCTGCTATCCCCCGGTAATGACAGGTTGTGTCACCACTTTGAGAAGAAAGTCCTTTCCCTTATTTCCTCATTATACAGCTCATGCCAATTCCATGACATGTTTTTCTACCGTTTCAGGACTTCCTCTCACCTTTGGGCAAAGGACTAGGTCATTGTAAATTTTCCCAAGTGGAAAAACATTTTCCATACATATGGTCACTTTCAGGAGCCAAGTTCACTTTTGGTGACACTCATAGTTTCCCCAGAGAGACCCTTTCTGAAGCTAAATCCACATTACTCATTAACTTCCCTCTACTCATTCCCCCACCTGATGATCCGCGGTGTGTGTTTGTGTGGGATATTCCTTGTTTACTCTGCCCTTGTCGACGTAAACTGGCAGGACAATCGGAGATGTCACACTAAGTCAGACGTCACTGCTGTCCTGTTGGGAGGACTTATCTGTCAATTCAACATGACCTTCAGATCCAGTCACTTCTGAACACACCTGACAACCTCCTTTTCCTCCACTAAGCACCTCCTAGTGCTTTGCAACTTCAGTGACTCTTTCAGACAAACACAGGGTGGGACAAACACAGGGTGCCTATCTGTACCCAAAAGATTAAATTTCAGGACTTCCTTCATTCCTGGGCAGAGGTGGGAAATAATCCCAGTGCTGAATTCCCTCACTGCATTTGACAAAGCTAGTTTGGGAATCAATTTTTTCCATGCTCACTATTGCAACTCAGGCAAAGCAGATGTCTAGCTGCTAAGCAGTTAGTAAAGATGGCATAGTATATTGTCATAGGTTAATGTATACATAGTCAGCTAAATCTATAGAGGAAGAAGACAATACAGAAGAAATCAAATAATCCAGAATCCTATAAAGATAGTTACTGCAAATTCAGCTAAGTTCTTTGTAGAGTTTAATCTGTGTTGGAATAACCTCTACAAAGAAGTAAAAATTAGAAAGGGAGTAACTGTGTAAGCATCATTACACTGCACAAGTGTCTTCATATCAGAGAAAAAAAACATTAGATCTGGAGTCAAAGGAAAAGGAAGCATGAGCCCTGTTATGCCAAATTCTAAACAGTCTGCAAGTTTTTTTGTTTACAAAACATTGGTAGTAACAAGGCCACAGATCTGTAATGCATACTTATACATGGTAAATAAGCATTAACTGCTCATGAACTGTACTTGAGATGGCATTTGGGCTCTTTTCTTTCTTGTGGGGAAAAAAAACCCCAAAACCCAAACAAAACCAACAGGGTAAGGGTAATGAATGCTCGGTATTTTGACCGCAATTGGAAAGTCATTGTCAGAATGTAGCAAGTTCTTCCTTCTGCAAACCATTACAGGTGGTTTAGCTCTTCCTTTTTATGACAATATGGTGTTCATTTGAGACTTTCAAGTAGCTTTCCAAGTGACAATAAAACAGTGACATAATATAGGATTTTGAACAAATACACAATTACACTAAGAGAGAAACAGCAAGTATGCATGTATGCAATAAAGAACTATGCCTAAGGATTCAATTTCTGAATATTTTCCCAAGAAATTCTGCTCTTAATACACAAAAGTATTTATTCATACAAACTCCTCAACAAGCATCATAATACACAGTGCCAACATTTATTATGCATTTATATGCAATCTTAGATGTCAAATCAGGTTTTCAGAGCAGCAAACATTGGTTTACCAGTTTTGATTACATATAGTCTCCTACATAAACTCAACCTTTTAGATCTCTGTTCTTTCAAAATTCATACTTTTAAATTGCTCTTCCAGCACATCAGAATCTTCACCACTGCTTGTACTAATGCAGTTTGTATCAAAATCCAGCTCCTTGTCCAGTCCACTGCTCTCCTGGCCATTTTTTGTAGCCTCACTCTCAGTTCTGTCTTGTCCTTTATCAATCCTGCAGAGAACAACAGGGATGTCATCACCACCCATTTCTGAAATTTCCATCCCAATATGAGATGGAAGATGGCAGGATGTGGGAAGGAGGATGAAAGGGACGGTAACATAATTTTCACATTGAATAGGAAAAGTGTTTTATACATAAAAAGTATTTAGTACACAAGAGTCCATAAAAAAAAATAAAGGTAATAAATGAACAGTTTGACCAACTGAGCAACTGCTGGACAGCTGTCACAAACTAATAAATTAATGTATCAGGATCAGTAATGAGAGAACTCTAGTAAAAGAGCAAAAAACCCGTAAGCCTGCTAAATGTATTATAGTAACTATTAGTCCTTGATTAGCTTTCTGTTCACTAGTAACTGAATCATCAAGCGGCAGACAAAAAGCACACATTAAATTGGTTTATGCATATTTTATGATGCTCTCTACTAAAATCTGTTTTGAAGTGCTTTGTTCCTAAGGAAGATAATGCAATCTACACTTTGGTGCTAAAATAAACTGTCTGATCCAAGTAAGACTGTTTTTGGCTCGGCCCCACTAACATCAATAGGCATTTCACCCTCAGTTTCATCAGAAGAAAGTGAGCAAAATGACTCCTACTGATTCCCATTAGGATTATTCAGAATATGGCATAAAGTACAACAGCATCTTGGCAGTTTCCAAACAAGGTTTATTAAAAGGGCAAGAAACAGTGTGAAACTGAAATTATGCAACCTACGGAGCTACTTACGGAATAACAATTTCTTCTTGTTTTCCACATTTAGCACAAATTTCTAGTTTACCAGCACACGGTCGACAAATAATATGGTAAGGATCTTTCACAGTTTTCTGTAGGCACTTCACACTGTGGAGAGAAAGGAAACATGATTTAAAAAATATTGTGGACACTTACTAAACATTCTGTGTTCAAATACAGCATAGACATAATCTTCAAAAGAGGAACAAGAAATTTTAGGCCAGTTTCATATGAAACAATTGGTCTCTTAACAAGTAGCACTATCAAAATCATTGCTTATCATCTTCCTCCTCTTGCTTTTTCAGGAAAAATTATTAAAACAAGAAATGAAAAAGAAATAAAATCAAGAATTTTTATATTTAAAGTGACAAAAGAAATGTTTCCATTCATTTCAATAAGGTAGTTTTTACTTCAAGAGTTGCATACCTTCTTCTGGTTTAATAACAGAAGAGAAGTAGAATATCATATTAAAAAGTACATGGATTTTACAAAAAAAAAGGCTTTGTATTCAAACACTGCAACATCTTCCTCTTGAACTTCTCAGATTATAAACTGAGTCAGTGTTGGGCTTTGCCTTCTATGAACACAAGCCTTCTATGAACTTAATTATGTAGAGGTTTTGGGTTATTCTTTTTCAGACTACGATAAAACTCTGCAGATTAAGAAATTTCCAAAATGCTATGGCTTAATATTCAGCTGACATTTCTAAAGCATTATATCTTTGGATAACAGAACCCAAAACAATATACCCCATGTAATGCAGCTGCCTTAAAACTCACTCTTTCTTGGTTTCTGATGCACTCGAAAGTCTTCAGCATACAGTTCTACAGAGTGCATTTGCAGACTTGGCTAACACAGGCTAACACATGTTTTTGCATGCCTTGTAAGGACAGATGCACTAACTAGCATCTAGTGAAACAAATTTTTTACTTGCTTTCCTAAATGCCATTCTTAAGTAGCATCACCTTCTCCTCACTACCTTCATCCAGGCTTTACTGAACTTTAATTATTCAGGTGTGCATATCCAATTTTTTAAGAAGACGTAAAATCACAAGAATTCCTATAGGACACATCAGACTAAAGCAAAGTCTGGACTGCCTAGTGCTTCTGGTCTTCCCTCTCCTCCAGGAAAAACCTAGTTAGATATCACTACTTTGTCTGGGTTGCTATTTCTTTTTCTTTCTTCTATGTTCAGTTGCATTAGTAGTAAAAAACAAATCTACAGTTCTTTCCAGCCATGTCATAACAAAGAGGGGCACTACAAATGTAAGCCAGATATATATATAGATATATCTCTATCTATCTATCTATCTATCTATCTATCTATAAATGCTTTAACATCACGTAGTTAAATATTTGAAACAAAGTAGGGATAGCTCATGGCTGTACCAACATTCATAATTCTGAAGATGCTAAGAAACTTAAAAATACATTGAGATACAGAGAAATCCTCCATTCCCCTTGTTTACAACATAAATAATTCATCTTTTACATACAGTCACATTTTTAATGTCTATTATGCATCCACTTCACCCAGACACTTCATCTATTGAAAATCTTCAGTCTTGTCCTTTCAGAACAGCAGCTCACCCAGCCATGAAATACAATGGATGCTGGTCTAGAAATCATCACATGTAGAGCTAGAATGCTCTGCAGCACAATTTCCTTGTTCAAAAATATGACTGAAACCATCACATATTCTACTATAAACACCTGTTCTACAATGCCACTTTTTCTATATCCAAGGCCTCTCTGATTTACACAGGGGTTTGCCTCCTTGCCTTCTTTTTTTTTAATTTGGGGGTAGGCAGAGAAGAGGCAAAAGAATCAGATCCATCACCATATGATTTGTTACAGGTCAGTACTTTCAGACAGGATGCACAGTCATTTGAGAAAAAGAGACAGATCCCAACTTCATCCGCAGTGCACAGAACCCAGAATATTTATTTTGAGAACAGTAAGCCTTCTACCTAATAATTTATTTTTCACTCGAAAGGGTGGAGCTGATCACTAAAACCAAAATACTTGTCACATATGGCTTCATACTAAATAGTAAAACTTTTACACAAGTGGGGGATAGAGTATGAACAAACATTCCTTTCCTTTTAATCTACTGAAAATCAAACTAGAACACACCGTCACTCAGGGAACTACACACATACATTTACAGAACCTCTTCAAGCAGTTCCTAAGTACTTCAGAACTATGTAACTGAGAGCAACACACAGATGCAGAGAGAGCTGCTACTGACAAACCTGGCTCTATTCTACACCACAGCCCTGCAGTGGTTTCTGTGAGTTCAGTGTTTCACTGCTGAAACACTGGCTGTGTCTGCTGCCACAGGAGGTAAGGTCCTCTGCAACTGAGCAATTAAGAAGAAAGCAGAGAACATGTACTTCAGAAAATGAAAATAATTTATAGGTTTGTGATAGGTTAAGATATTTATCGTATTTGTTATGCATTTATCCAAAACCATGTAATACAGAACTGTATGCAAACAATGCCAACATTTAAGATTATAGTTTCTTACAGAAAAATAGCTAACATGCTAAGAGGTAAAGGAATTTATGTATTGCAAACATTTGTGAAGTACAAAAGTTAAGAGATGTGCAAATTCCTCTAGTTCTGACTTGAAACAAGGCCTTAGAAAATCGTGTCACAACAGGTTCAGTTCGACTTGGAAACTTGCAGGTCCACAGTTTTAACAGTACATTTTTAACAGCAAACAGGGAAGCAGCAGCTTTTCCTCTCTGTTTTCTTTTCAAAAGTTTAAGATAAAATACTAATGAATTAGAAAATTAACATTACATATACATTGTCATTGCAGGCTCCAAATTTGAAAAATGTCACATAGTAGCAGCTCCTTCTTTTCAGTTTCCAAAACCAAAATATTTTCCAAAAGTTCACAAACTATGTGATCAGGAATTAACACAAAGTATCTTAACTCACCATTTTTTAGGTTTTGATAGTAGTTTGTACTTGCTGAACTTTACTCGCCACTCCAAGATACCTTTGCAATGCTGACACACTCCATCATGAAGCTTAGCATTTATTTTCTGAATAAAAAAAACAAAAATACATTGAAGATTTCCTACTGTAATGAGTATAACCTCTCTCAGAAAGCATTTCCACCTACCATGTGATTGATACTGTATTTAGAAATATGTTTGCTTAATATTAACCCTAAGCATTTCATATACATTTATTTTCTTCAGTGTAATTTTCTGCAGTGGAATGAGTGCTGAGAAAGACTACCTTGAGGTTAAATACAATCTTCTTGTTATAGTAATTTAAATATTGTTAGAAGTAGTACTTATTGTTATATTGTTGAAAATAGATTACTATATTTTACTACATTTCATCCTGAGAAATTTTACAAAACAGATTTAAGAAAAATAAGCCCTTGAAATGTAGTTTTTACCTGAAGAAAACTCACAAGGCTTAGCATTTAATTCATTATTGCTCAAGCTATCATTATACTACATAAACAGTTTCAGAATTTTTTTCTCAGACAACAATAAAATAGAATCCTCACACTATTTGCAGTCAAATCATTCCATCTCTAATCCTAACCTTCCTTTATGAAAAATTAATACATTTTTACTTTCCTGTGCCTAAGATAAAATCCTCAAAATGGTCATTTAAACTATGCTCTGTTTTCAAGACAATGTAAAATTTACCTTAAGATCTCGTATGACATTTTGTGCTTATTTTGCTCAGAAATGTAAACCACTGAGTGGCCAGTATGATTTGCAAAATAGAAGTTATTCTGAGACCGAAAGCAGTACCAAGCCAAACTGTTATATTAAATAACAAGGAACATATACCTGTATTTTGAGCCTACTTTTATTTCTCCTCTAACTAAAAATACCAGCACTAACATTAACTATCATACAGATGTGTATATTTGTTCAGAAATGTAAAAGCAAAAATTTCACGATTAAAAATCATGCATGTAACCAAAAAAAAGGATGCCTTCTTGAAGACAGTTTTAAAATGACCACCACATCAACATTACATTATTAAGATGGTCTAAACCACATCTACTACTTAGAATACCTAAAAATTCATTGGAACAGATTCTGTATTAATTTGGATTACAGTTTATGTTATTCCTTTACAAATGAACTGAAAAGCTATTCTATGAATACAGTAGCTTCTGAAGTAATTTCCTGGTTTTATGACCCACAAGAGCTTCTTACTACTCCACAAAGTTCTACTTCAATACATTAGACAAAAGAACAAGCCTAGCTTCAAAAAAACAGTATCTTATTCTATTCTGGAAAATCTATGTTGCAAGGATTGGCTACTGGCAAGTGAGACTATAATCTGGGACTTGTTTTCCATTGTTTCAATTTTTACCAAACTTCCACCATTCAGTATAAGTTTTCCAATGGTGTGATTAACTGAACGTGTGGTGCTTTATGGCTGTTTCAGTTAAAAGTGAATTATTTTCCAAATGATCAAACAAAGACTTGGCATGTTTGAAAAAAACAAACAAGGTTTTGCAGACAGCTTGAATACTGAATACAGAAAGCTGTGGTTCTGATGCATCATGAATTACATTTTCCATGAAACACAAACATTTTGCTAACGTGCAAAATTTTTGTGAGCAAATCATTGGTAAGTTCTCAGCCGATACCTGCTGAAGGGCTCATAATTCAAACTGCTGCGAGCACTAACTGTGTTCAGTCTTTCAAATTCATGTAATTCACAGAATCATAGAATTTTAGGGCTTGGAATGGACCTTACAGATCATCTAGTCCCAACCCCCAGGCATGGGCAGGGACACCTTCCACTAGACCAGGATGCTCAAGGCCTCATCCAGCCTGGCCTTGAGCACTGCCAGGGTTGGGACAGCCAGAGCCTCCCTGGGCAACCTGTGCCAGTGTCTCATCAAAGGTCAGGACATCTGACACACATAGTCCAACTTGGCTTTATGGACATCCACACATAAGGGTTTCAAAACCAGCAGCCAGACACCAAGTCAGCAGCGACACCTTCATTGGGTAAACCACACTGGCTTCGAGCCCAGTTCTGCAGGATCAGCCCTGCACGAGGTATTCAATCAGACAGCTGCTGCTCAGTTTGACCTGCAGAAGGGCTACAGGATGCACACACACGCAAAGGGAACACAGCACCAGCTCCTTGTGGAAAGGACGAGAGCCTCGCACTGCCCCAATGCACAGCAAGGCATGACTGGCACTTTCATGCCAGGACAGACACCCCTGGGAGTCGGGCCGGTCTGGTCCCTGCCCCGGCGCGGCTGTCTCCAGGCCCTGCTCACCACTCCCCGCACTCCGCAGCTTTCTTTTCGCTGCTTCACCAGCACAAAGTAATGCACCAAGCAGTATAGCCTGAATCAGCTTCTGACAACCTGCAAATCAGCCTGAACTTCCCACTTCTCCCTCTCACTCACCTCACTTGCATTGAGTCTGTGTACACTGAGTACTGTGTGCAGTTCTGGGCCCCTCAGTTCAGGAAGGATATTGAGGTGCTGGAGCAGGTCCAGAGAAGAGCAACGAGGCTGGTGAAGGGACTCGAGCACAAGTGCAATGAGGAGAGGCTGAGGGAGCTGGGGTTGTTTAGCCTGGAGAAGAGAAGGCTCAGGGGAGACCTTATCGCCCTCTACAACTCCCTGAAAGGAGGCTGGAGTCAGGTGGGGGTTGGTCTCTTCTCCCAGGCAACCAGCAGTAGGACAAGAGGGCACAGACTCAAGCTCTGCCAGGGGAGGTTTAGGTTAGATATTAGGAGAAGACTTTTTATGGACATAGTGATCAGTCATCGGAATGGGCTGCCCAGGGAGGGGGTGGATTCACCATCCCTGGAGGTTTTCAAGATGAGACTGGATGTGGCACTTGGTGCCATGGTCTAGTAACCACAGTAGGGTTGGATTAGATGATCTTTGAGGTCTCTTCCAACCAGGTTGATTCTATGATTTTATGAGTCCTAATGCAGGAGGGGTGAAAGACACAAACAATGTAATATGTATTCCCAGGTGTCCTTTACTGTTTCAGCTATTTTTGGTCTTGCTAAGGCAGAACCCAGTGAACCTCGAAAACTGCAGTAGTTTAAGCTGAAGACAGATGGTTGTCTTTAAAAAAGGAGTTAGTTTACTGGCTGAAAACCACCTTGCTTCCCATAACAGGTTATGACATCACGGCTGGGGTCAGGAGCCATGTTACTAAGTGATGCAGGGACATGCTCAGCAATGGGTAAAGCACTTGGAATGCAAAAGGCCACGGTCCAGGACTGCTCTGGACTGCACATGGCATAAACAGTGCAGAAGAATGAAATAGAACTACATTCACCTCTCATTCAAAGGAAATCCTAAGTTTGTCAAACTTATTTGCTTTTACAAATTCTGCTGAATATTTGCTATGGAACAAGGAAATATCCATAATTATTATTAATGGAGCTTTATAAAGCTCTTCCCCATCCCAATTTGCTTATCACCTGCCTCCAGTTACACAACAATCACAGCATGATGAATTTTTTTTTTTCATGCAAACTGAAACACTGGCCATCCCAAAACATGCCAAAGATGAAGGGGCAACACAACAGATGACAGGCAATCCTGGAGGTTCCCAGCAAGTACTGATGACAAATTCCTTCTCCAAGTGATAGAAAAGCCAACAAGGAAAGGTGCTATGCTCACCAAGAAGGGGAGGTTGGTGGGGAACATGAAGCTCAAGGGCAGCCTGGGCTGCAGTGACCATGAAATTGTGGAGTGCAAGATCATGGGAGCAGTGAGAAGGACAAGAAGCAGCTCACTACGCTAGACTTCAGGAAAGCAGACTTTGGTCTCTTCAGGGATCTCCTCGGCTGAGCATTATGGGATACAACCCTGGAGAGAAAAGGGCCCCAAGACAGCTGGATAATATTCAAGGATTGTCTCCTCCAGGCTCAAGAATAATGCATCCCTACAAAGGAAGGAAAACAGGAGACCTGAAGGGATGAACAAGGAGCTCTTGGCCAAACAAATGCAAACAGGTAGCTTACAGAGGGTGAAAGTACGGAAAGGTAGGTCTGGAAGGAATACATAAAAATTGAACAAACAGCCAGGGAGAAGGTTAAGAAAGCTAAAGCACTGGCAGAAGTCAATTTGGCCAAGGACATAATGGGTAACAAAAAAGGCTTCTTGAGGTACACAAGTGATGAGAGAAAGACTAGCGGAAATGTAGGTCCTCTCAGGAAGGATACAGAAGACCTGGTTACCCAGGACATGGAGAAGGCATTTGGACAGTGGGATTGAGTGCACCTTCAACAAATTTGCCAATGGCACCAATCTGTCTGATGTGGTTGACACTCTGGAGGGAAGGAATGCCATCCAGAGGGACCTAGAGAGGCTTGAGAGGTGGGCCTGTATGAACCTCATGAAGTTCAGCAAAGCAAAGTGCAAGTTCCAGCACCTGGGTCACAGCAATCCCAAGCACAAATACAGACTGGGTGGAGAATGGATGGAGAGCAGTCCCGAGGAAAATTATTCTGGGGGTGTTGGTAGGTAAGAAGCTCAACATGAGCCAGCAATGTGTACTCACAGCCAAGAAAGCAAACCATATCTTGGGCTGCATCAAAAGCAGGGTGGGCAGACGGTCAAGGCAGGTGATTCTGCCTCTCCACTCTGTTCTGGTGAGACACCACCTGGAACATTGGATCCAGCTCTGGGGTCCGCAACACAAAGACATGGACTTGTCTGGAGAGGTCCAGAGGAAGGACACTAAGTTGATCACAGGGCTGGAACACCTCTCCTATGAAGACAGGCTGAGAAAGTTGGGACTGTTCTGCCAGGAGAAGGTTGCATGGAGACCTTAGAGCACCTTCCAGTACCTAAAGGGGCAACAAGAGGGCTGGAGACTTTTCCCAAGGCCATGCAGTGTTAGGGTAAGGGAGAACAGCCTTAATCTGAAGGGAAGGACACTAAGTTGATCACAGGGCTGGAACACCTCTCCTATGAAGACAGGCTGAGAAAGTTGGGACTGTTCTGCCAGGAGAAGGTTGCATGGAGACCTTAGAGCACCTTCCAGTACCTAAAGGGGCAACAAGAGGGCTGGAG